AAACATGAAATTTTGCAATAATCTTACGCCACCCTTGCATAAAACGCCATTTTTCTAATTTCATAGACAACAGAAGACTGTATTTTGTCTACATAACTCCCCCCCTGAATTTAAAGCTGGATCCGCCCCTGTGTATATAGCAAAATTTTTAGGTTGAAAACATACTACTGGGCTCAAAAAATACGCATGTGAAATTTCGATTTTTTATCCAAAATTTCATAAGGGGTGGAGGTCGATTTTTTCGAAAAATATGAAGTCTCTCAAAATGTCTTGAATTCTACATCATTTCCGTCACAAGGACGCAAAGATTGCATGGCGTTCATGGAAAAACACTCCAGAATGTTCAAATTTGGTATTTTGGGTCTATTTTAACCAACTTTCGATCCCTCACGATTTTGAATCGACGATATTTTCCTTATTATATATTTAACCACATTTTATATGCACATTCCAAACGTTTTAGGGTGGAAAGCATCCACTGCGCTTAAAAAACTTGCATGAAAAATTGGGGTTTTGATCCAAAATTTCCTAAGGGGACTTTTACGAAAAGAGCGTTTCTCAAATGCCTTTGATCGAACCGACCAGAAGCTTTGAATTTTAAATATTTGACTTCTTTAGTCCATTTTAAGCGATTTTGATCCGTCAGGATCTTGAACTTGAATCAGTTTACCCGTTTTTTCGGTGGTCGCACAAACTCGCCAGTTTCACCTCAGCTGCTCATTGAAGATTTGTTCTTCTTTGTCAATATTTGGTAGATTTCCCTATTAGTTCCACACCAGGTGAAACGTAAGTTTGCTATTGGGTTTCCATATGGTCTGTGCTGTGCTTTATGTGAGCACAATTTGAAAAATCCTGATTGCACTTTCACAGCAATTTCTACATGATCTCTAATAGACAATCGAGATGCGGAAAGCCCAACTAATGGAAAACGCATTGATTGTAGAAAGTCTAATGGACCACGACCCTTACACAGGGTCAAGTGACTGTGTCTAATGTACAAGCAAACAGAAAATTGTGATTGTGACTAAATAATCAAACATTTTCAATGATTAATCGATTGGGCCAGTGCTCAATTTATGCAGCAATTTGAACTGCGTGAAGCAAAATAATGCAAATCGACGCGAAAATCAAAATTCTTGTGAGTTTTTCCGATTTATAAGACAAGTTAATCGGTTCTAGTCCAAAGGAGTTCGATTCCAGCAACGAAAAGCGCACAAAACCACGGTTCAATGGCAATATTTGCCAATTTTGCTGTCGAAATCGCTGGCAAATGAGTCTTCCTGCAAATAATTGCTATTGTTGCGCCAGTTTACCGAGCAGAGAATAGGAGAGTGGAAACTGTTATCAATTTTCAAATATTTAACGCACCAGCAAGGTTAATGTAACTTTGCAGGCTGGAAATTAATTGAAAATGTTCACAAGATTACGCGCTTTTACTACCATCAAGTGATAAAGAATTGAAGTGTTTTTCGCTCCAATCGTTCATCGAGATACGAGGCATTTTAAAAAGTGCCCCCTGTTCCAAAAAGGTATTTTGGAACAGATATCGATATGGAACAGTCGGTACCTGTGACCGATATTTAAAATAACATGTTATTTGAAATAACAGGGCTCGCCTACGATGCTGCTCAGTAACAGTCAACATCTGGGATTTCGATATTTCAGCAAAGCAAAAAGGCAAATATCTGCCTTTATGCCTTTTGATTCCCCGCGGCGTTGTCAATTGGCCTGAGTTTTAGGGAAAGGAGATATTTTACTCTCGTGAAGTGGTAAGGTTTTGTATGTATGGGAGTGGGACGTGCACCCATGATTCGGCAAATAGCAATATTCAATGAACAAAAAATACACAGATACTTGGAACAGTTACACATGGAACCTGTGCCTGAAAAATACTCGTTTGTGTCATCCGTACCCCAAATAAATAAAAACTGTATTCTGACCGAATACTCATGCGGTTACCCTCGTATTGAGAACAATCCGGATTGGCGAGCGCCCATAAACAAAGTTGAAATACGCGCCTTGAGCGCCCGACCAATCAGAACCGTCCATCTGTAAAAGTCCTCGACAATTTGTGCTGCACGTCGACGAGCGCGCTCCTGCCCCTTTGAAGTGATCCAACTGAGCGGACGGCCACGTACGACAAATTAAACTGCGAACCGTGTATCGCGACCAATCAGAACTTTCCATCTGTCTTGGCCGCCGCTTATCTACGACCAACGTAAACGCCTGTGCTCCGAGCGTGGCGTATAAAGGACAGAGTCAGCTATAGCCCGGCTTAGTCTGCCACATTACGGAGTAGGTTGTTTAGTATTCACTTCGTCGACTGATTTTGGCACTTTGCCTGAACTTGTGTAGGAAGTTTGACGTAAATCGGAGTACAGTTTTTCGAAAATCGCCACAAAATGAAGTTCTTGTTGTTATTAGCTGTTGTTTCTTTGTGCACCTTCGCGGCCTTTGCCGAGGTTTATTTCGAAGAGAAATTCAGCGATGGTAAGTAGCGAATTGCCGGTCTTGAGCGGTTGAAAGGTTCAAGGGGGTGGCTTTTTCGCCCTATCAAACCACTGACTAATGAACGTTTTACGCCTTTGCAGATTCGTGGCAGAAAAACTGGATTTACAGTAAACACCCTGGAAAGGAGTTTGGCAAGTTTGTAAGGACTGCTGGCAAGTTCTTCAATGATGAACAAGAGGACCAGGGTAAGGGGCAACAACCTCCTCACTTTGTTTAGCTTGTTMGGGGCCGCAAATGCATGTTTTTCTCCAAGGAGAATGACGGGCCARGACAATCKTCTTTAGCCCAAGTTCTTCAATTAAAGGGCCACYGAATTCCTCCCTCACATTGCCCTTCAAAACCCTGTTTATCMGTGCTGTAAACGGTATTTTCGTYCTCAAYATGCATGAAAAGGGCTTGGAACGATTCACATGTATTTTCAGTGACGCATAACAAGCTCAATATTCGTTAAATTCCCATTAAGCCACCTTTATTACCTCTCTTCGGATGAGTAAGCTATTGGGTCTGGGACGTTTTGAACCTTGTAATGCATCTAATCAAGAAAACAGACCGAAAGGTCTGTGTAAGTTTGGCCTTAAAGGGCCTACATAATCCTACGTAAATACAAAAGTTTTTTTCTAGAAAAATGCTGGTATTTGAGTCAGAAACTGAAATTCCACCTGAGTCATCGTTTAATTGCTTTAAAAGTGTTCATCTTCGAATGCACAAACACTTTTGTTTTCATAATTCACCAGCTTCAGTAATAACATATAGGCATTTTCCAAATAAACCTACTTGGTCAAAGTTACTGACGAACCCAGAAGCAGAAGATTGAGCAAAAAACCTGGGTTCCCATCAGGAAAAAATGATTTGGTCCATTTCAAACTCTTGTTGAGCCTCGACCTCACCAAATCCCATTTTAACCGTCAATGTTTTCCCTTTAAAGGTATCCAAACGTCTGAAGACGCCCGCTTCTACGCCCTGAGCACGAAGTTCAAGCCGTTCAGCTCAGAAGGCAAAGACTTGGTGGTACAATTCACCGTCAAACATGAGCAGAACATCGACTGCGGCGGCGGTTACGTCAAAGTGTTCGATTGCTCCCTGAGCCCCGAAGACCTGCATGGCGAATCCTCCTACAGGATCATGTTTGGGCCGGACATCTGCGGGCCGGGCACCAAGAAGGTTCATGCCATTCTCAACTACAACGACAAGAACCATCTGATCAACAAGGACATCCGGTGCAAGGTGAGTGGCGGCTGGTTTAACCCGATGGAGGGTTCTTAATATCGCCCTTTGTTGTTTAGGATGATGAGTACACTCACGCCTACACTCTGATCATTCGCCCCAACAATTTGTACGAAGTCTTGATCGACAACGAGCAGGTGCAGACTGGCACTTTGGAGGCTCATTGGGACATTTTGCCGCCCAGGAAGATCAAGGTGGGTTCTATTGTTGGTTAAAGATGCGAAGAACCGACGGCTAATTGATTGGTGTTTAGGATCCCGAAGCGAAGAAGCCGGAAGATTGGGACGATCGCGCAACGATTCCCGATCCAGATGACACCAAGCCTGAAGACTACGACAAGCCCGAACACATCCCAGACCCCACTGCCACCAAGCCTGATGATTGGGACGATGAAATGGACGGCGAGTGGGAACCACCAATGATCGATAATCCTGATTTCAAAGGTAGTTCGCAGAAGTTGCCCAAGTTAGCGGAGTTTTCTAGTCTTTAAATTGTTTTAGGTGAATGGAAGCCCAAGCAAATCGACAACCCTGCATACAAGGGCCCATGGGTGCATCCCGAGATCGACAATCCCGAATACACTCCAGTCCCCGACCTCTACAAACAAGACGAAATCTGTGGAATTGGTTTCGATTTATGGCAGGTCAAGTCTGGTACCATTTTCGACAACGTCTTGGTTACCGATGATGTGCAATACGCGAGCGACGCCCTCAAGAACCTGAAGCAAACGCAGGAAGGCGAGAAGAAAGCCAAAGAAGCCAAGGACAAGGAGGAGGAGGAAACTCGCAAAGCCGCCACTGAAGCCGAAGAGGAAGATAACGATGATGACGAGGAGGAAGAGCACGAACCACAAGTAGTCGAGGTAAGTCGCCCGAGCCCACTCAGTGGGTGTACAGGGTTTTCACCTTTTTCTGCTTTCAGGAAAACCACGACGAGCTGTAAAGAGGGTTGTGTAAATGATAAGAACGAAGACTTTTATATTGTTGCAGTGTGCAGTGTTTTCTTTAATGGTGTGTACTGTTTTGACTGATTTTTTGTTATTTTTCTATCGATGATAGTTGATGTTTTGCCAATAAAACAGTTTACAACAACAAATCATTTCACGTTGATATGGTCACATTTTTTGTACAAAAAACATCGTATTAGCACGTACGTAAGCTCTAGTTGATAGGGCGCGGTAAATTCAGATTACTGTATTATATGGTTTTTAAATTTAATTTAATTTATAAATAAAGTTTATATTAAACGTATCAGGTCCTCGTTCTTACTTCTAGTCGATGTGAATTTACCCTTTGGACTTTCCATTCCTTCCCAAGATCAATTCGTGAAACCCCAGTCACTTTTAATGTGTTTCCTCTTTCAAAATTTGCCGAAAAAACTTAATTTGTAGTCACAGTGAGGCCTAAATTTCATAAAATCATACAGAGTGTACGTAGAAAACGCCTTGTTTTGCCGCATTAAAGCAGTCGGATCAGCCACGCTTTGAAACCGCTGTTAATCCAAGAAAATTAATGCTTTTCAAGAGCATAAGAAAAGGTTTTTTGAACGAAAATCTGGTCCAAAAACGCATTGTTTGTTTCCATTTACTTTCAGTAAAAATCGAAAGTATCCTCTAAAAATAAACCCAATTATCCGCACCTTGAAACTGCTGGTCATCGCCTGACTGGGTTTCTAGCTGTAGTTTTGCGCAATTTCAACGGCACTTTCATGAAACTCTCACTAAGAAAAACTGCCTCATGAAATTATATTAAAAAAAAACAAAAATAAGATTCTATTCCAGATCTATGCAGGAGCGTGGCAATTTTAAATCCCCTATTGATTAGCGCCAGTCGCTCCAGCCAATCGAAACCGGCCATTTGTATCGGGAGTGACATCGGTGTTCTGCATAATTCTTCCTCTACGTGAGCAGCGTGTTCGAATTTGATTGGTCCAAAACAGTTAATAATTTCTGTCAAATGTTGACGTTCACCATTTATTCGAAAGGTTCCGTGCGGTCAATGAGCATATCAGTGCGGGTTTTGTTCTAAATTGTGCGTTTGATGCGCTAAAATCCACTAAAACTGGCTGCGAAAATGAAGCAGTTTCTATTTGTGGCTTTATTGGCTTTGGCTCTTATCGGTGAGTGCCATTCCATTGTGTTCAAGAGTCAATATCAATCAACACAGTTTTATAACAATTGCGGATGCTTTTTTACAGTTAGGAAGTGATTTTTTCTTGTTTTAGGGTCAACAAGGGCCGATTTAGATGCCACTGAAACCCCCAGTGTTGAAGCAGACCTGGGAGCTGGCAAAGAGGGTTCTAGAACTGGTATGTGCTCATGTGCAACAGCCCCCTTAACGGGGGCCCCTAAAAATGGGTCTGGAGTTGCTTGGGCTCCGTCGGCCTTGCCGATAAAACCGCAAAACTTTGCCAGACGGAGTCCACTTTTCAGTTGATATGGTTGAGCTCATGACGCCCCCTTTTACTCTCTGATCTTGGCATAGTTCATGAGATGCTCTCGAACAATTACGTTCGTCCTCTTATGGGCGTATAGTCTTCGGTCGGTCCAATCTGCGTCCGTTAGTCTGATTTGATACCAACCATATCTAGGAAAAGGCTCAATTAATGCGATCATTTCATTAGGAAGACTTTGTATGTACTTTCCTGACTGTGTTTCAATTCCTAATCAAATTCATTCCTGGGTTTCAGTCATTTATTGTCTCTATTTATCAATCAAAATACGTTTCGGTGTATTTTTCCACCATCATCAGTTTTTATGTGTAGCGTTGTTGCTGCTTTAAGCCTTGGCA